AAAAATCGATGTGCTCAAAAATTCGGCGCGCCATTGAAAAATGTTATACACGCGAGAAATTCGGTTATTTACGAAGTTGATCGCGTTAGGCGAGCGAGACCGGAGGGCAAGCCGATGGGTGAGTAATTAAAACTCACGTTGCTCGCGGTGGCCGTTGCTAGAAGTGGCCCGCCTCGTTGAAAGCGTTTCTAAACTGGCCAGGTTTCGAGTTTTCGCCACGCCACGCCACACCCGAACGACAAAATTGTTTTCGCTCGAACGAAGCATTTATACAAACCGTAAAAAGCCGCGCATTGCCGGTGTCGCAAAACGAGCGATCTATTAAATTTTGATGAGCTTTTCCTTCCGCGTCCAACTTGTATCGTTCCCTCTTCGCCTCTTCGTTTCGATAGAATCACAATGGAAGAAAAGAAAGGAAGGAAGGAAAAAATACGGATTTAAAAATCGAACGAAATCACTCGAACACGGCGAGACAAGAGGAATAAAGAAGCAAGATGAAGTTTGATCGTTTATCAATTGGTTGGAAATAGGAAGCATATCATCATACGTAAGGTAATTTCTTATGGAAATATAAGAGAGGTATAAGAAAATATGGAATGAAATTTTTCATCGGAGGTTTCGTTTTTTCGTGAAAATCGAGTTTGAAAATTGTTCGGTTATTCGCGCAATAGAACGACCTCTTAGCCGGATACTTGGCTCTCGTAAAACTTAAAAATTTAATTTTCAAATTTGATGAAATCTTCTTCTGAAATCTTGGACGAACGAAATTTTGTCCTATCGTTTTTTTTCCCCCTCCCTCTTTCCGTTGATTCGGTCGTTCGTAACGGCCCTCGAATTCAACAATCGTTCGAAAAAACAAGAAATAAATAAATAAATATTCGAATAATAATATCATAAAAACATATATACTTCGAATAAAATAATTATCTCCTACTTCCCCGCGATCTCAAAGATCATAAATTTCCGGAACAATGGCTTCCATACTGGATGGAATCCCCATAAGTTTCTACGGCATTCAACGGTCAACCACGAAATCCGTTGAAGGGTGTACGAAGAGGGAGAAGGCAGGGGAGATAAAGAGACAAGAGAGGGGTGGTGGTGGAGGGGGGGAGAATGGAGAGAAGTATGCACGTTCAACTCGGTTCGTAATGAACTTGTGAATATTTAGTGGAGTAATTACCCTTCGTGGCGTGTCTCTGGTACGTCTACGACGATAAGAGGTGGCGGAACGAAAATTCGGAAGCAAAACCAATATCAACGGGCCACCTGTGCCCAGCCTTCTCGTTACGTGTGCCACGAGGCCTTATTCCCTTCCTCCCCCCTTCCTTTCCCTCCGTGTTGATAATTTGATTTCCTTAGGGGATTGCCGGTGAATAACCGGCGAATACATCACAATTTTATCCCCCCCTTTCCACGCTCTTCTTCTCCTCAAAAATTCGGGAAAGATTCGCCACTTCTCCCGATCCGCTTTCGGAAAACCATTCTTCCCGGGAAAACTTATCCCGAGATTTTTTCGTATGTTTGAATCTCCCGATTTTCGTTTCATCCCCTTTGCTCGAAGAATTTCGAACCCCCGTGAAGATGATTCGAGTTCCGAATCATGGAACACGAGATAGGTTTTTATATATATAATAATAATAAACTCGTATCGAGAAAAAGAGTTGGAGTACGCAGAGTTTTCCGTGTGTTACTTTATCATCAGGTGGCCGAGTTTTTTCTTCGAATATTCGGATAACGCATAAATCAGTTTGTCCGGGAAGAGAGTGACGTGAGCACACTCTCTCTTTCTCTCTCTCTCTCTCGGCAACGGCTATTAATCATAACGAGTCGCTCTTGCCACGGGAGGGGAGTGTGTTTC